CGCCCGTCCCATCTCGCTCTGCAGCACAAGGACCCTCCTCCTCCATTTATCTGGGGGCAGTGYCAGCCCCCCATTGCCCCAGCAGCTCACAGGGCCCCCCCAGTCTGGAGGGGACGGGGGTGACAGCAGGGTCCCATCGCCCAGCCCTGGCACCCACCCCCACCCCGGGGATCATTGGCGTGGGTGACCCTGGAGTGAGGGGTGGGTGCTGCTCCCCAAAGCCCCCTGGAGCTGGGGTGTCTTGGTTTATTTTCCTCCTGCACCACTTGGTTCCACTGTCTGCTCTCCCTTCCCTGTGCCAGCCAGGCTCTGTCACTGGGGGTTCATCTGGGAGGGCTCCCCTCCAATCCCAAATCAAACCCCGCCTGTCTGAGCCCCGTGGGAGAGAAGGGGAGATCCCTGGGATGTCTCTGCTCCCCAGCCCAAAACTGGCAGCAGATCCAAACCCCGGCCAGCAGGATGTGCTGGGCTCCTTGTCATCCTCACCGCGGTCCCCCAGAGAAGAACACACCCACTATGGCTGTATCCATTCCTGTTCCTGATCCCAGAGGCCCCAGCAAAGCTCGGGGTGGTTTGGTTCGGCGTTGCTGCCCTCTCATGTGGAGAGAGGGCCAAAAACCCCCTCCCCAAATTGGGCATGGCCACTTCTGGCATGTGCCAAAGGGAGAAGGGTCGGGCRGGCAGCACTGGGCATGGGCAGCCCCTGCACATTGCTAGAGAGACATTTTCACTTTTTTTTTTTCCTTTTTTCTTTTAGCTGGGTTTTTTTTGCAAAGCTCTGCCTTTGTCCCAACTCCCTGAGTTTTATGGGGGCTGCAGGCATTCACAAGGGAATTAACCCTGCCTGGCTCTGTGCTTCCAGGCACTCCCCGGGGATGGTTTGGGGGGGCCAGCCCGGGTTCTGGGGAGCAAAGGGACGTTCCTGCCTGCAGAGGCAGCATCAGACCCTGGGACCAGGCACAGGGGCTGGCTCTGCCACCAGCAGCTCGGTGACACTCACCCTGGCAAGCCCCACCCACAGCATCGCAGGGGCCACAGCAGTTCCAGTAGAACGGGGGGGTTCGGGGAGGGTCACACACACAGAGCGGTGTCCCCTTGGAGCTGAGCCCTTCCAGCCACTCCGTGTCCGAACAGCAGTGCCCACAGTCTCTGGTTTGCTCTCACCCCTCCTGGCATCGCTCTCCTTCCCTGCCYCTCCTCGCTGCCCTCCCCTCTCCCTGCTCCATGACCTCAGGTCCTGGCTGGCTCCCTGGGACTGATCTCCTCGGGCACTCGGCCACCAGCACGGCTGGGACAAGAGCTGTGCCCCACGGCGAGGACAGACAGGCGGACAGTGTCCTCCCAGCAGCTCATGCCACCCCACGGTCACACGGGCTGTGAAAGGGCAAAACCCCACCGCATCCTATTTTGTCCGGAGGGTGGCTGAGAGCTGCTCCCGCTCCTCCAMGTGATGGATGAGCCTTTGGCAGCCCCCGAGTCCCCACGGGCCGGCCAAGGGCCAGCAGCGCCCGCCCTCCGCCCTCTCCTTCCCCGCGGTCACAAGGTTTCAGTCAGCAAAAGGCAAATTTTATTCCGTCTACGCACACTTGATTGTTGTTATAAATAATAATAAATCACAGCGCCGGGAAGTGGATTTACGGAGCAGGAAGGGACGGGGAGGATGGTGAAACACCTCTCACTTCCCCTCGGGAATGKGAGGTGTGAGAGGCACCAGCTGTGTCGGGGGGAAATAAAATCCAAGGGGATGTGATGGGGTGCTGGAGGGGATCAGGGCAGGGGGCTGCGGGAAGGGTTTTCCCACCACGCCCCCTGCTTTGGACACCCCCTCTCCTCGCCTGCCTTTTGCACCGCTGCCCCAGTGAATCCCCTTGGCACCTTTCRTATCCCAAGTGCTGCGATTTCCAAGTGCTTTTGTTGGCATTGGCTGCTCTCCCTTCGGAGGCATTTAGGGGCGGAGAAGCCCCCACTGCCACCAGCTCCCAGGGGTTCCCCCTGCTCTGGGCAGACTCTGGCTCCCAGTGCCTGTGTCACACCCAGGGCGACCTCCCCAGGGCCCTTGGGGACCCCAAAGGAAGGGGTGAGAGGGAGCTGCATTAAAGCTCTGTTTTTTTTGTGATTCCCCCCCCTCTCTGCTTTGCTGGGTGAAGTCACAGCTGGAGGAGCTGCTGATGGGACTCAGCCCATGACCACAGCCTGATGCAGGTGCCAGCTCCTCCCAGCCCTCCCTGGGGCCGACTGACAGCTCAGCTCAGCTCACAGATCCAATGGAAAACTGCATTGGCTCAATTCCTTTTTTTTTTTT